TTAAGAGGCCCATAGGTAAATAATCATACAAGCCTGGACGGAATCCTTGTAATTGTAAACCTCGGAAGTTTTCACAAATTGGAGATCTAGAAGTACCAAACTAGCTGGAGACAACCAAATAATGGTTGGGAATCAACTTCTTAGAGGACACCAACATTCCTTGTAAAGGGGGCCCAGATTTACTCTGAGATGCAGAACAGCATGGTCTCAAATTTGTCAATTTTCACTTGGATAAGTGCAGTCATGGATTTTTCGTCCTGCCCAAAGTGCCTGAATGAATTGAGGAAATATAAGGACTCATTCATCAGAGAGAAAAAGGGATTTCCATACCTGAACGGCCGATAGTTAAACTCACTTTCAAAAATCTTCACAAAAATCAACAATCGGTTGATTTTCCAGGAATCTTTCTAGTAGACACGATCAAGCACTCTTCTGGCTAGTCAATTTACAAAACTATGGGCTCGATGGCCAAAAATAAAGACAGAGTTTTAAGATTTTTAAGATTAAAAATCTGGACGACCTTTTTGGTCCCAAGACAAAAGAGAAAAGGCCTAGTCAAAAGTACCCAAATTGGTTCGGTCTTTTCTTTTTTTCGTCTGTCAAGCTTGTCGAAATTATAAAAATGATAGCGCAGGTTAGGAAAATCAGAAGAATCATAGATGTCGCTAGGTGTACGAAATAGTCCTTTCAAATGAGTTCAAAATATATAGAAATAATTAAAAACGATATAGTTATTTTTGTATCAAGTGCGCGAAATGTCATTTTGGTGATCGAGAATGAAAATTTTTTGACGACGCGTAGCGGAGTCAAAAAATCGTTCGAGATCACCAAAAACATTTCGCGCCCGAGTTGCAAACAATATTTTTTCTACAACTCCATTCAAATATCGATCATTCGAAGCCAAAACCGCATTTCCAATCAAAGACAGGTGAATTTTAATTATTTTTGGCATCCTGACAGGTATTTGTCACCATGACACCAGTGTGCGAACTAGCTATTTCGCACACTAGGGTGCGAAATAGCTAGTTCGCACACTGGTGTCATGGGAACGTTAAAAAATCAATACCTGGGAAAAAAGTGTCACTTCGCGAACTGTCATGAGTGTGCAAACATCATCATTTTTTGACAGTTGTAGAAAAAATATATTTTTGTGACATTTCAAATGTTACAATTTAACCCTTTCAGTACGGCGGGTTTTCCGAAAATTTGTGCGCCACAGACGGAGTCTTTGACCGTGCCGCACGGATGGGTGTCGACTATATGCGACATTAAAATATTACGTAGTACTTCAGCATTAGATGATCCGCAAATGCTATCGTAACTTGTTTTTTGTTTTTTTGCTCTTGGAACGATCCTTGAGGAACTTCTCCGACGACATCTTGAGCCTCACTGGCGCAAAAATACAAACGGATGTTGCATATGATCGACAGTGTCGACTATATGTGGGAGTCGTCCTGGACTTGCAAGGTGGCCGGATGTCGCATATGATCGATGGTGTCGACTATATGTGGCAGCCGCCTGAGCGTTTAGCATGCGGTGGACGCAAATGTAGCGACAGCAGTCTGTACGCCAAATCTAAAAACTGAATGTGTCGCATCCCAACTGACAGTCGTCCAGGAGACAGAATACATTCCTCGGTGTCGCATAGGCTGCGTCAGCCAGTACGGCTGACGCAGCTTTCAGTACGAAAGGGTTAATAAGGAAATCAGTTTAACAGAACATTAACAATTATTTTTACTGAAGCTAGAATCAATTATTTATAGTAATGATTCATCACTGTAACGTTAAATGATCCACTGCTCAAGTTATTTAACGCCATACTTGATTTGAGGTCTTCCTTATTTAATATAGCGGAGTTTGACACAATGGGTCTTTCCCACTCAACTGAATTTAAGTATTTCATTCATATGGTTTGGAAGCTTATCCGATAAAATACTTAAAGGGCTATGTGGTTGATTAAAAAAAAATTATTGATGGAGATATTAAAGGAAAAAAAATGGTAATATTTGAAATAGTCCGCCAGATTTTGCACCAATCAGAACGCGCTGATTTGCCCGATTTACGGGCCGAAGCTGTTCCCTATCGACATGTTTTCTTTCTAGTTGAATGAACAAGATAGAAAAGGAAAAAAAATATCGACATAAATGCGGTTTATCGATTTCTATTCCAGTCTATTTATTTGACAATTGAATTCTAACCTAAAAGGGTACCTTTTGTAAATAAAACATTTTCAAAGAGTGAAGACTGTTGTGTTAAAATCAAGGTTAAAATTGAAAGTTGTGGAACAGAGATTCGAAATTGGAAAGGTGAGATTTATTTTGTGTTATTTTACACCAACAGAACTATATTGTCCAAAGTAGGTTCCTACCTACTTCTACTAAGGTTTATTTTGGTTTTTAGATTAGCCAAAGCAAAAACAGAATATAGTCAATACTGTTTAGTTATGTACAACTGAAACTAAAAAGAGAAAGCCAACATTGTACCAACTGTTCAGTGTAGAACTGTAGAAGAATCCCAGAACACAAAAGTACATAAGAGCAAACAGTAGTCACGGCTTGTGAGCTGAGAATATAGGTAAAGATTGTGTTGACAGAGAACTCCATTGGGCCCGAAAAGCGAAAATCTCACTAGTATGTATGTGTAGGTACTTACATACAATGAATATGATCTAGATTCATTTGAATTTTGTCAATTTAAAAAACACATTTCTAGAATTATGTAACTAGAATAGGAATATTTTATGTGATAATTTTGTTACTACTACATTGTTATACGTATTTCATTATTGTTGTTGAAACTTTGAAAATAAAGTTTCTGTAAATAAATAAATTGAAAGTTAATTGTATTATATTATCATTGAAGTAAGTAGGATTAGGTGATTTCTGTACATATTATTATATAAATTGATAGGTACCTAGCTATATGCTAGCATTATCAATTTTAATAAACTCTTAAACAAAATTAAATGGTATATGTTGTTATTTTCTCAGGGCCAAGCAAATTCGAAATTGCTACATTTTGTGTTTAGCACAAAATTATAGGAGACGCCCCAATAAAAACCGAAAATTCAGGTAAATGGGTTCTAGGAAATGGCACAATTTTAGTTAATTAGGTACATTCCAGCTATATATTTTTAAATAAATAAAATAAAATTACACTTTGTTTACATTTCAAAAATAAGGTTGAATTCATAGAGAATCGAGCGAGATCGATGGGTTATCGATATCGAATTCTTGAGAGTTGAGAACACAATTCGTAGAGAAATTTCGTGAAATCAGCAACCGCATGGCAACACTTGAAGAAAGCAGCCAATAGAAAATCTAGGCGCGTGACGTCACCATCCTAAGAATTTTGAATTTCAATTAAAAATTTAAGGTCTTTCCCGGTACCAAAAAAATCCGAAAAAAATATTTCTGGGCTTTATTTTGATTACCCTTTCAGATAAGCAAATAAAAAAAAAAACGTGGGAAAGACCCATTGATTGCTGCTGGCTGATTCTGGGAGGATTTTCTTCATTAGGCTGTTCAGAGGATACAAACTGTTGTTTGGACGTAGGTTGCAGAATTTTTTCTGCCAGTTGCTTCTTATTTTGAAGAGAATATAGCCTATGTAGCTTTCTGCAACTGTACTACTTTTCCATCCCCCATGCCTCTTCAGATTGGCTAGACTAGCTCCTGAGTTAGCTAATATTATCGCGGACGTTCGACGGAAGCTATGTCCAGTATAGCACACTGGATTCTGTAATCCAAGAAAGCCGGCTATATTAGAGGGCATTTAACCAAAACTGTTGATGCCCACACATTGCGTTCTACATTTCCCGTGCTTATAATTTAGAAAGAATCTATCATGTGGGGTGTTTGGAGGGCGCAATAATGTGTATTTTTGATAAAACTGCAGTCTATATTCTGTTCGTTTAGGACTACAAACTTTCTTGAAATATAGGTTTTTGTTTTTGGAATGGTAGCGACTAGCATGTCCCATTTATCTTCAATATCCTTAAAAGACAAGTAAGTCAGTTCTTCGCGGCGACAGGCCCCTGCCACTCCAAAAATTGCTGCTACTTTCATCATCCAGTCAAACTTCTCAAAAATTTTGGATTTTTTCGAAACTTCTCTAAAACTTTTCCTCTTCAAGAAAGCTTTTTAAACTGACCAATATCGACATCTTTATTGAGTTTTATTTCCAGCTTGAGCATGTGTCGACGGAACAAACTTCTTAGACAAGTCCAAAAAATAGGCCAGAAATACTTCTTCCTTTGTAATATTTGCAGCATTTCTTTGAGAGCTCCATTTTTGAAAATTATTAAACTCTTTTTCATACCTTTCCCTGGATTTTTGCGGCACAACTATTTTAGACACAGTGCGTGAAAAGTGAAATTTTTCTCACGCACGCAGTACGGAAAAGTGTAGCTTTCCGCACGCAAATCGATGCGGGAAAATGCGTTTTCCGCACGCTCGTAGGAAATAGCTATTTACCTAACAAGTGCGGAAAAATATTTTCCGCAAGTGTTAGGTACAATATTTTTCCTACAGGCGAAAAAATGTATTTTTTTTTTTTGACATATCAGTGCGGTAAAATTTTTTCCGCACTGATAGCCGTGCGGAAAAACTTTTTCCGCACTGATATGTCAAAAAAAAAAGTTTTACCGCACCGTGCGGGAAAACTCATTTTCCGCACGCATATCAGTGCGGAAAATCGATTTTTCCGCACAGCTGTAGGAAAATTCATTTTCGTTAAGCCGTATTAGCAGCGTTCTACCACAACTGTTATTTTTTCAAAAAACCACCCCCATTCAGCGAGCCCACCCCCTAAACTGCTGCAAAATGAGATTCCGGCTCACTATGTCTATCTCAATAAACTGTCAAAATTTAAAAACTATGCTTTTTTTTCTCGCAAACCACGTTTTTTTTGCTCCATTGCCTGGACTATACATATTGCGATAACTTTTTTTAGAATAATTTCTTGGCGCCAGAGATACAAAACAAATGTTTATTTGTCTAGCAGCCTTGTCTTCAGATATATGAAATACAAAAGTGCATAATGATTCGCAGCATAACTTTAGTGGTATTTCTTTTAGCATATAAAAGTTTTTGTTATCAAAGTAAGTATACAGGTATAGTAAGCTTCATTAAGGCCCGATAGTAATGAAACATTAATTTTTTAGCTGATTATTATTGGAAAGATTACACGGGAATAATACCAGATGATGCTTTTATAGCAGGCCACGATTACAATGGTGAAAATATTTATGTAGGTCTTGTATATTTAGGTGCAGAAGGAATAATACCAGCTACGATTACACCTGGTGAAAAAAACACTTATGCCGCAGCCGGAAGCGACTCAGTGAAATCACAAAATTATATACAGGTAGGGACATATTTAGCATAGTAGGTAATTTTACTTTATTCTTTTCTATTTTTGCTACTGAAGTCAGTATTATGGGTTCACTTTTATTCGAAGCTTATATATTTCCTCTATCTTCATTTTTAAAACGCATGATGAGAATGTTGATTTATAGTGTAAAGTTTTTAGAGACGGCTGAACCTGAACATTTCATTAATGAAATGACGTTTCGATGTTCTGAAGGCTTCTTCAAGGCATCTCAACAGGAACGTCTTTTGGATTCTGGATCTGCTAGTTTCTCTTGAGATCGAATCCTAGCACTCAGGGTGTCTGTAGCGGCTTGTGCGTATTTTACCTATCCCTATTACTTCAAAGAAGCCCATTGTCACTTTCTCAAGCCAGGAATGGTCTTACGAAGTTGAGGAATCTTGTGAATAACAGGTGCACTTTTAGCATGTTTGCAATTTATTCACAAATATACTAATCAAATGTCAGGGTTTCGATGTGCATCCATTTCAAGGCTTCATCAAACCTTCTTCACGTCAAACATCCTCTGGTTTTCTTTGGTCTGCAAGGTCTTATCCAAGAATGATGCAACTGAGAGCCTTTGATTTTGGACTTTATTCACAACTTTCTGAAGTTTTTGACGGATCCGTAACCTTCTCTAGGCTTCCTCACGGTATCTCAGCAGAAACGTCTTTTCGTTTTCCGAAACTGCCGGCTTCTCCCACCCAAGATCGATTCCAATGTTTTGGAAAGTCTGTAGTACCTTGTCCGTATTCGTCCAAGCATATTATAAAAGGCAGTTTTCAGATTGTTTGGTCTTTATTCGCATTAGTCTGAAAGCTTCATCATAAGCATCTTGAGACTTTACTGCGTAATACTATTTCTGGTTTAGACGATTGACAATTATTGATGGTTCACCTGGATACAAAACAGACACAGGACAGCAGAGTCCTGAAAAATTGGACTCGATCTTGAGAGGATTTAGCTGATTTAAGAAAAGAAAGGACATTTCTGATGAGATGTCGCCTTGATAAGGTTACGGAATGCAGAAACTTTGACATTTGATTTGAAAGTTTGTGACTTAAGTCCAAACAAGCTGAGAACTGCCCTTTATTTACAATATTCCTGGATCAAAACTTAAACTGTATAATTTGTAACATTGCAAATGTTACTTGTTTTTTTTTTAATCTTATTAATTTATACGATTTATAATTTTATATAATTATTCAGTCCATATGGCGACATCTATTGCCAGGTGAATAAATTATTTTATCGTTTATCGGTTACTTCGAGAATGGCGTAGGCTCTTTCTTTTTCACTACCTTGATCTACTCGACCTAGTACTTCGTTGCTCTTCAACCTTGTTAATAGTTTTCGAACGTAGTACTTTTCACATAGCTGAGGGTCGACAGGCTGACAGGTTTTCCTTCAAAAATGTCTCCATTTCTAATTCCAAGCGGCAGTAAATGACATTTATTAACCTAATTTGTAAACAAACACCAGCCTTCCTATTGGTTGAAAAGCCTTACCTGGACCAGTGCCCATGCACGGAGGACATTTGATAGGTTGTAATGAAAATTACCAGTTTGTCATTTACTACCTCTTGAATTTGAAAATGGTGTAGCGATGATATATATTCTGAGAAGAGAAAATTGAAGACCCCCTTTTTCTAATATTGCCGTTGCACTGAAAAGGTCGACTGTGGCCTGGCGTGGGCCAGCCATCTTCCTAAGTGAAATACAAATATCGATTACCGTTCTCGTGGAAAAAGTACCTTATCGGCCTTCAGGCATTATCTTATAGCCGTTTTCCCAGCAATTGCCTTAAGTAAGAAATAGTTAGGGTACACTTATATTTTAAGTAGTCCTTAAGACTTGTTGCGTTTCTCAGCGGTCCTCAGGATCAACCCTTAATAAAGAACAAAGTACGGTCTAGCAGCGTTGTATTTCTGTCAAAAGAACGTCGAAAATCATCATAATTTTTGTTTCTATTTCTAGTTGATGTTGATATTTGTTAACTCTACAGGCTGAAGCCAATGCTTCAGATGTCAGATGTCATCTTCACTATTCTAGATACTGTCTGGTATCCATTCCTATGAAATCTGCAACACTTGATGACCCCCTGTCGCTTAAAACCCTCAAGTTGTGAGTAGCTGGTTTAAAAGGGTCTGTCTGTATTGTTCTTTCAAAAGAAATTAATAATAAGAGTATGTCCTTGGATGCCCTAGTTTCTTCGTAGTGTTTTTGAATACAAAGTACATCAGGATGACGACAGCTTGGCAAAAAATATAACTTTTAAACCTCATTAATACTGTATGGTATGTGAATGTGAACTGTGAACCTATTATGTTAAAATCTATACCTCCATCCAGTTTTGTATGGTCTCGTTCCTCGACCGAAACCTGATAAAAAAATAAGTAAATTGTCCATCCTGTAATTAGCTCTTTCATAAGTTCTTTATGGAAATCCATTTCAGATAGTATCGAATAAAATCTAAATCTTCGTTCAAAAATTCCATTATTTTGAGACAATAATCCAATTTGACAAATAGATTCAAACAAACATGTCAAACGTGCTAAACCAAAAATGCCAAATTAAATTTTGAGGTTAGAATTCTCTACTTTATGAACTTAAGACGCCAAATTTGGTCACTTAAGTTAAGGAATCCTTAAGGGGCAACTAACGAGCAAAGCAAACGAAAAGCTATCGCTAAGGATGTTTTACCACTAAGGAATCCTTAAACTATCCTTTACGAGTGCTGGGAAAATGGCCATTAATGAAATAAAGTTACGTAAGGCGATAATCCATTGATTACCGAGAAAATTTAAATCAAAAGTCTTGTGATTACCATTTTATTTGAGTTTGAATTTCGGACCCCCTCGTGGTAAGTCCTTTTTAATTTTTTAAGTAATGGTTGTTCATGGAATGCCTCTACTACTTAGGGTTTTACCGGGAAGCTGTTTCTACCAGGGAGTTGTTTTTCTCAAGGGATCCATTTTCAACAAGCCAGATTGTGTCGATACCTGTACCCCCACATTTGACGAAGAAAACTGAACTTCTAGCCTCTATCTACCTCGATTCCAGATTAGAATCTGCAACTTCTATGTGCAACTTCCCTTGTCCAGTGACCAAACATGGATGGCTACCGACTACCGTACTCTACCTTTTTGTCGGAATTGAGGCTTGTATAGAGCTTCAATTATAAATTCTATAACCTTTTCTATGAAATCAATTTTATGATCAATTAACAAAATTAATTGATTTTGTTTCTCTCCTAATATGACATTTAAATAGTTATACTTTCAATTTCATTCATAAAAATTCTTGACACCGAGGTGATGGAATAATTAATTTTTGATTTACCATATTTATTATAGATTTATCTTTACTTCACTTTTAGCTGTACGTTTAGTACCGCAATTTGAAAAAAAAATATCTTCCAATAATCAAAATCATCAATCTGAACTGAGGTAAAGGTTGGACAATATGTTCTAAATTTCAGATTATTGGGTAAGTACTTATAACGCCAAAAATTGATCAATTTTTCATCTGGGTTATATTACTTATAAACTTGAGGATTTCAGTTATATCTCCTTTATCCCTTCAATGTTTAACCTTTGATTTCATCCAGTTTAAATTTGATTTTACTGATTTTATTTTCTGGCAGCAGCTAACCATATTTATCCATATAATATTATAATTTTCAATCATTAATTTTTATTTGTTTTAAATTAATTTTCGGAAAACCTAAATCTATTATTTCATGATAATGATATAGTCCCCAGTACATCGACCCTAAAATTTTGTAACTCATGTACACGCCAAACTTTCTGAGCAGCTTCATAACAACAAGTCGGACAATTTTGTTCATATCTTCAACCTGGGCGATGGGACATTGTCGCGCTAGCACTTCGTGAATTTGTCATTCTGACGTCCCTGAGAACGGTGATACATGTACGTGTAGTTTCAATTCCAATCGACTGTTTTTTATGTTATATCGACGATATCACATTTGTCGGACAAAAATCTCGTGGCATTGAAGGGGTCCGACACCCTTAACATGTTGCTGGTGGGGGCGTCGGACCCCCCAATGCCACGAGATTTTTGTCCGACCAATGTGATATCGTTTATATAACAAAAAAAATAGTCGATTGGAATTGAAACTACACGTACATGTATCACCATTCTTATGGACGTCAGATTGACAACTTCACGAAGAGCTAGCGCGACAATGTCCCATCACCCAGGTTGAAGATATGAACGAAATTGTCCGACTTATTGTTATGAAGCCGCTCAGGAAGTTTGGCGTGTACATGAGTTACAAAATTTTAGGGTCGATGTACTGGGGACTAATATGGCCAGCTACTGTTTAATGAACTTATATGGCAACTATATTGAGGTACATTGTAATAATAATATTATTTTTTTTTGAATCTGATGAATCTGATTTGGGGTTAACCTCCATTCATTAATTTTATTTTTATGTGTTTCATCAGCAATTGATTTTATATTTTGAAATTATTCAACAATTGATTTTTGACTTCCCTGTTCGCTGAGCAAACCGAGCATATTATGAGCCTCTTGTTAATTTGTTAATAATAGGGGTTATATGAATTTTCACATCCCAATATTTTATTTTATATAATTTTTTTCTTTTAAATGCAGTGGCGCCCTTGCCATTCTGTACTCATTACTATAAACCCACCCCTAATAATTATTCGCTGAGCAAACCGAGCATATTATGAGCCTCTTGTTAATTTGTTAATAATAGGGGTTATAAATTCTTAATAAAAGCCCGAAATCGCAGCTTCTGGCCGTTTTGCTTCAAACTTTTTTTAACTTCAAGTAAAAAATATGTAACCATATTTAAACTTAGGTGACTCTAATTTCCGAGTATCTAGTCAATTACGCATAGAAAAACTTTAATCTTTGTGAAATCGGGCATTTGAAATTCTATTCAACGTCAAGACAATCTTATTTGTTTATCAACTTTGTAGATTTCGCACTGATCTTATTTTGTCATAATAGGCCAATCAAATTAATATTTTTTGACGAATTAATAGAGAATTATGGCACTTTCCAAATAATGATCGATTTTATTATTGATCCGACTTATTTAATTACTGACTGACTGTCATTATTTTCCATGGATAATTGTTTTTTATAATACTAGTACGGTATGAGCTTCATTACAGTAACGAGTGGGAAATATTGCCACAACGAGGTCGTAGACCTAGTCTTGGTAACCACACGAGTGCTGTAATGAGCCTTACCGTACGTGTGATTTTATCTACGACCCGTACATTGAGTAACTATTGTCGTAATAACTATTGTGTACTCGATTGTGTAATTATATTAAAAATAATGACCTCTTACCGCACTAGTGCGATAATGAACTCGTTATGATTCATTACCGCACTATTGCGGTAATAGGGCCTATTACATAATCCAAATGAGTAAAAATTAGTGACAGAATAGTCACCCATTGTGCAGGTCGTAGATAATAGTTATTTATATACCAAGTGGGTTAAATGAATAAACATTTTAACTCACGTGATGTATATGTCGTAGACATAATGCAAATTTGGGCTTTTTATAATTTGCCTAGGCATTTTACAAAAAGCCGGCAAAACGCAAGCATAAAATGCTTTATTTTCTACTTTACTATTATAGATCCATAATACCTAGGAAACGAAATACGTTAACACACCTATAACAACCTGATCCATAACGCCCGCTTTTGCGGGCGTTATGATCTATAACGCCCGCTTATAATACCTTAAGGTGTTTTTGTTGTTGTTGTTCTATTAATTTGCACTTTACCCTAGGCAGCCACTAAATGTCTGACCGAAAATAATTTTCGGTCTAGCCAGGATTCGAACCCGGTCTACCATCAATGTTTCCATGTAGTCCAGCGCGTTAACCCACAGGACCACCACCGTTGCCTTGCCTTATGAGATGTTTATAGATATATTAATTTATTTCGTTTCTATGTACAGGTCGCAGGTACAGGTACAGGTCACAGGTACAGATACATGTCAAAATACAAAACAATATTCTGTCACACAAGTTTAACTGATTTTGTTAATAACAAATTGATGAAAAAACATTGTGTTGAGTAGAAAATAAAGCATTGTATGCACCACGGGGATTTCAAGATTATAATGCCCTTCAGGCGAAATATATCCCTCGGGCCATAGGCCCTCGGGCTAGTTTCGCCTTCGGGCATTATAATCTACATAATCCCCTTGGTACATAAATAGCTATTTTTCGTTATGCCGGTACCATTTCAGGCAAACTGATAATATGCCGGCGAAACAAGAACACAAGAATATATATCATGTTGTGACTGATTATTCTTAGGCATTTTACAACTTGCCAAAAACGGTGCCGTCAAAACGTAAAAAAAAGTCGAAAATACTATTAAATATAAATAATACAGTTACAGTAAATCTTTTTATTTAGAAAACATAAAGAAACAGTTATCACTATATTATCTACCTAACACAAATATAAAACTGCAGTTTGTTTAATACTGATTATAAGTGTACTTCAAGGACATTCGTGGCTACAGATGACAATGCACTTTTGGCTCCTTCGATTTCGCGCGGTCATTAAAAGAAAAAAAACTTACCCGGTGACCGGTGAGTGCACTCAGTAAATTCTCTATTTTTTTTTCGTATGTCACGGGCAATGGGCAATGTAAATAATATGGCAATATTTATAATGCCCAGAAAATTTAATGAATGAATGAATGAATTAGAAGATATCATCACTTTGTCCGGGCATTGGTCATTATGATTAATGCTGGAGTGAAGTGGATAACTTGTTTGATTAAAATTGCCAATTAATCCAAACTAACTGGGTCATTATCGGTAAGTTTGATAATGATAACGGACTGGAATAAAAATGCGTGTGTGTTTCTCGCACGCTGGTAGGAAAATCTATCACACATTCTACTACGCGGCAGTTCAATAACAGCTGTACGGAGTGCTCCAACCCAGCTGTTCGGAGTAACAGTTCACGTACTCCGAACAGTTGGGTTGGGTATTCCGAATAGTTGGTGTACTCGGAGTACTCTGAGTACACCAACTATTCGGAATACTCCGGTTACTCCAACTGTTTGAGTACTCCAACTGTTGGGAGTACTCCGAGTACACCAACTATTCGGAATACTCCGGTTACGCCAACTGTTTGAGTACTCCAACTGTTTGGAGTACTCCGAGTACCCTTAATGTTCGGACTACTCCAAGAGTTTGGGGTACATTGTCAAACTTACCGATAATAACCAGGTTAGTTTGGGTTAGTTTGAAATTTTATTCAGACATTACCAAACTTACCAATAATAACCCGGTCATCATTTATAATGCCGTGTGGGCAATCTGATATCTTTTGTATAATTCATAATTTTGTCATATTTCTTTGGGCACTTTCTAAATTGCCCGGGCATTAAATTTAATGCTCAATTATTAACATTGCTCGTAACAAAATACAATACCAAAAAAACACTACTACGAACTGATTTTTCATTCGAAACTTGAAACGAGTCCGAACAGTAAACAAACACTCAAGTCATTAATTAGGTGGATTAGGTGGACTGGTTAGTTTGCATACTTTTGGTTAGTTTCGTTAAAGCACAGATCACTTAATACAGATGCGAAAGTACGTATACTTGTCGTCGACGATATTCTGTGACGAGGCCGGGCCGCCAGCTCCCCGACGCATAGATAAAGATCGCCCGCGTCAGCCTGTGTGTTTACATATTTTTGCGGGTAGAAAAAAATATTTATCTGCTGTTTGTGAACCAATTAAAGAAATAATATTATATTATTGAGCTTCCGCATTTATATAATAAATATGTTCAAAATACATTGATGTGGCATTGGTGCGGCCAGCCTATGTCTATCAAATTAATCTTGAACCACGAATTCGCAGCTCTTTCGCATCTGTATGTAAGTAATCTGTGGTTAAAGTTCGTTTATTACTGGTTATAAGTGTACTGGTTAATAACAAAGCGCGCAAAGCGGAAACGGAATGTGAGCGACAACAACGGATTTCAGATTTGTGATTAGCGAGTAAAATTATACCTTACTACAAAAAATCAACAAATTCGGAATATTCGGATTTGGTAATGGATAATAGATAATAACCCTAATACCTAATCGAGAAAATTCGACTTGTTTTATATCTATTCACGTTTTGACGGCACCGTTTTTGCTGTGAAAAAATTTCCATAGGTATGATGAACAATTTTTTTGGAATAAGAAATAATCATCAGTACAATGGATGTGGTTTATGAACGATCATTCATAAAATCAAGGAATAGAATCAGTGGTCTTCAAAGAAAGTTCCTTATACTGATGAAAGTGTACGTGCGAACAATGGAAAATGAAAATTCATGGGTTTTATGATATTACTGAACATAAATTCGTTACATTAAGGAACGAAGCAGCTAGGCTATGAAACACTGTTTGGATTGATAAAATATTTCATTTAAATAATGACAAAAAAATAACAACTGCCATTCGTCAATATTATGAACGATTTTCTTTTTCAGTGTAGAAAATCGTTTTAATCCCCATATTTAGTTATTTAGTCCCAAATGCGTGTAATCTGAAGCGATGACTGCAACCACGCTGAAAAAACAATTTATCTCCAAGGACAATAACAAAGAACGGTGGCTTTGCGATGGTCATCATTCATCAACCATCATAATCGGAGAGGAAAACGATCTATTTTTCCTATCACCCGCCACAGCAACAAATTCATCAAGCATTTACGTTATGAAACCTGGAAGTGGAACCTACAAGAATACGTTCTACTCTCCTAGGTTCTTCAACTTCTCGTCTGTTGGCAAACAGAACCACCTGTTCTAACATGCAATCAGTGTGTATGATACAACCTCTGCATTCTCATCAAGGGAAGTTGAAGTTTGTTAAGCTTCTTGAAAATAACACAATATTACCAGATACTGTTGAGTTTTTTCATCATGCAGATACTGATCCTGAGGTTCTCATTTCAGCAGGACAACTATTCTTGACAGCCCTCTATTCACCAAAGACAGATGAGAAATCCACTACGAGAAATTTTCAAATTCCCTGACAAAGCCAATTTCCAATCTGGCCTCTCTATCTCCAACAAATGCCGCCGCCGCCCAACATATTCTGCGGGTATACCTTAAGACCTAGGGCTGATATGATAGATCAAAGGAGCCTTTACGCTGGGGTTAGAGGAGGACACCCCATCATGTACACCAATAATACAGCTTCAGCTGAAATACTCAACACAGTGTCCTGCAAATATAGGAAAAATTATATAGGGAAGTGCAGTTGTTGGAAAGTATGCATGAATTGTTCAACAATATGCCTCAATTGGAATGGAACTTATCACCCTTCGAGGTTGAGGGTGTGAGTCACATTGCCGTAGAAGCAGTAATATGTGAAGACAAGTTTTTTGGAGATAAACGTGATGAAGAGGGCTTTGATATGCGACAGCACCTAGAGTTGCTCAGATGAAATGCCATCGACATCGACAAGGTTTATTAGTAATACACAACTTTGTTAAAATTTAAAATTATTTTCATTTGTACTACTCGAATCTCTCCTCAGGTTTTCTATATTACTTCAATATTTCAACGCAATAAGAAGTGCTATTGATTTTTGCTATACCACTGGATCGAATTAAAAGTTTTGGACGCTAAATTTAGTCCTTTTTATTATTGAGTGGAATGATATTTTACATCCGACACATCTTTTCCATGTGTAAACAAAATAACTGAAACTGAAGTACAAAAATTTGGCGGTCATTGGCTATTAATTCCTCAATACGGATTTTTCGATGCAATTTTATTGGCCTATACCTATTGATCTATTTCAGATTTTATGTAACCAGCATCCAGGAAGTCTCAAATGGATACCAGTAAATAAAACCGATTTCCATTTTATAACCATGCACAAACAGTTGGTCAGAGGTGGGATCCAAAATTCGAATTGGCTGCATATTGGAAGAATCAATCACCAGGGGTCTTTAATAGTTGGAAAAATTATGTCAGGACGGGCACCAATAAATGATGCCTTCATGAGTTATGTTTATAATGAAGACGTGAAAAAAGCTAACTCATTTGAGACTTTAACATTTGTAAACTTGGAGGATAATGAGCTTATTGAACCTAAGTAGTAAAAGGATATGATTTAGGTAGTATTGTTCAAACTTCATTTATTATTTCAAAAAAAAAAAACAACAAAAAAAAAACATTCCTAAACAAAATCACAATAAATAATTATTAAACTAAATCACAAAGCCCTTAGTTAGTTCTTTTTGTCTGCTTTGTCAGTTTTTTGATCATCTTTTTTCAATGCTTCTTTACTAACTTCAGCTGCATCCAATTTTGGATGTGTATGTTCGAAATAGCATTTATGAATCAAATAAACAGTTTCACAGGCGTCTTTCCCTTTCACCTGACATTTGTCGACGATTTCTAGGGCCTTTTTCTTATCAGCTTGAGCGGGCAGTTTAGCTTCAATAACGTCTTTTTGAACTTCCCCTTTATCGTTAACAAAACCAGCTTTTTGATAGAAACATTTGGTGAAACATCTTAGAGCTGCGTCATCAGTGAATTCACCGTAGTCGGCTTTCTCAATTAGTTCTGGGTCGACTTTGGTTTCTTTTATGCATTGTTGACGATTTTCAATTATTTTTTTTCTTTGTTCTTCGGTGAAATCCTAAAATTAAATTAATAAAATATAAAAACTATCAAAAAATGTTAAGTTGTAGTTGTAGTTATGTAAATGTATTTAAATGTTAGGTCTGAGTACTATGTACTAAGTAAGTGGACTAAATTGAGATGTGTGGTAGGTAGGTATACGTCTCTGAAAACTTCACGTTTTGACCCTACATACAGTAAAAAATATGTTCATTAGAGAGACTTAAGCGACTGTATGAATGAATATTATGTAGAGATAATTCATATTTTTGCTATGACCTATTTTTCACCTTCCATTCTTAGTTATCTGAAACTCAGAATATTGGAGTCTTCCTAGGAAATATAAATATAGTAAGTAGGTAGGTACCTTAAATCATTATTTTTTAAACTTATCATTTTTTGCTTGGTAAGTACCGAGGTAAGTACCTACTTAGTCCATAGAATAGCAGAATTCAAAAAAAATACAAAAAACTTCGACGGCAACGTTGCAAAAAATTGGACGTTACAAACTTTATGACGTTACTATGAAAACCTATAGTCTTCATTATGGTCTTATAGTTATTAAAGATAAAAAGACCGGTAATTCCAACTGTTCACATGTTCAGATTCAGAGGAGAGTGAACAAAATAGGGTTCCTCTTAAACTCTTCCTTTTCCGAAAGCAAATAGCTTGAGAGCAGTAAACATACGTTGTGGAATAAAACTTAATATTGAATGTTTTTCATATATTATTAAGGTTCACTAAAGTCATAATAATTCAAAAATATGAACAGTGTCGTCCAATATGTGTGTGTATTTGTAGATACTGGCATCATAAATACAAAGTCTTATAGACTTTGATAAATAGTTACAAAAAATTATCAAATTAAACTAAAAAAAAATAAAAATAAATTCCAATTGGTACTGATTACCTACTCATAGTCTCATCGCGAATTTGTTTTGTCAATATAGAACTTTCCGAAAAATTATAATGGCCCATTATACAACCTAAATACCACTATTAGGCAAATTATATAGCCTAAAGCTCGCACAAAATAAATACACAATTTCACTTAATATAGAATTGAACGGTAATTACCTGACATGAAATGGCGGAAACCACTGCGAAAGCGATCGAAAATTTCAACAGGTTGTTCATTTCACAGTTTTACTTGTTGTACGTGTGATTAATTTCGATCTACAATTAAGCCGATTCTTTAAAAACTGCATTGTTTATATACGGTTACTAGTAAACGGCGTGGAGGTCGGGTATTTTGCCGTATCTCCTCGTCCGAACCAGTTTATCTATTATGTTCTCAACCACAAAGAACTAATTTAATACACCTTAGCTAATAATTAGTTTTTTTCCGGTTAGATAATGGATAACACCCGAAAATGGTCATAATGGTTGCGTCATAGGTAGGTATATATGATAAGTACCATAGTATTTAACCAGTTTAAAGCAAGTAATGAAGATGAAATTTGCACTTATTAGTTAAAGCTATTTTTAAAAATAATCGTTAATTGAAGCCAATTTGTTCTTCTTGGATTTTCTGATTTATCACTAATCATGCATCATTGTCAGTTTACTCCTAGACAACGAGTAATTTCAAACCGAAATTCTGATAACCTTTTTTTTTCTGAAAATGTTAAACGAGACATTTCCTAAATAAATTTGAGCTTTCGCCGCCTTTTAGTTCCTAATTACCTTGAAAAAGGAAACGTCAATGAGTCAAAGGTCCTTTTTTGTAGAGAATATAAATTTTTACCTCTTCCATTGATTGACCAAAAATTCAATTACTTTTGGAAGCTTTGAAATGTATAATCACATTCCTGTGGTATAAAAATTGATGCTGGATGATGTATTGTTCAAAAAAAGTGTCACAAAATTCAGTGGCGGCTCTATGGCACCAATCTAGGGGGGGTAGAGCTTCTCGACGAGTAACGGCTCGTGGTCTATACTTGAAGGGCAGTAAATTTTTTCGGGTGCCACGCCCAAAACGCATTTTAAGCCTCCAAAAAATAATTTGTGTGTTTTTTTGATAATGGAAATTTTCTTAGGCCTCTCTGGGGGAGAGGGTAATAACCCCCTTCACCCCCCGTGCATCCGCCACTGGGAAAAGTTTACAATAATAAAAATACCGCACGATTACGTCATAAATACGTCAGCCATGTCGTATTTGAAATATGGTACAATTGACCTTTTGTTTGAACGCCATATTGCGGTGCGCGAATATAGTTGCCAAAAGTAGAAAAAAAAATTCACTAGCGTACTGTAAACATTAAAAACAAAAGTTACTGAATAAATTACATTTAAAATTTAAATTTGCCGCCTATAACGAATGTTTTTGAAAAGAAAGGCCATCTCAGCTGAAATTGATGGCTTTTCTTTACAAAAACATTCGTAATAGGCGGCAAATTTAAATTTTAAATGTAATTTATTCAGTAACTTTTGTTTTCAATGTTGACAGTACGCTAGTAATTTATTTTTTTCAACTTTTGGCAACCATGTTCGCGCACCGCAATATGGCGTCCAAACAAAAGGTCAATTGACGTCTTCATAAATATGTCAGTTTGATCATGACATGACGTTTATACAGGTGACAGTAAGGTCATAAGTCACGTCATATTTTGGTAAGATGACATCGCGAACCGATATTGACTCTAAAATGACGTCATTTGGAAAGAATTCAAGAGCCTCGAATAGAAACAAGCCTTGTATTTCTGCTTATCAACCAGTTTCTTCTCAAATTTTTCTCAATTTTCAATTCTCATAAATTTTCTTGCTCATTTATTCTTTCTTTACTTTTGTCTATTCCCTGCTCTTGAATTTCTTCAAATTTCCCTAAATAGAGGGACTTTAAGTTTTACTGGAATAGAATTAATTCTTGTATTGCTGCTTATCAACCATAATTTCTCCTCAAATTTTTCTCAATTTTCAATTCTCAATTATTGAGAATTTGCTATTTAACTATTCCTTTTCAACTTTTGTCTGATCCCGACTTAAATTTCTTCAAAGTTTCCTAAATTGAAATTCAAGAGCCCGGAATAGAGACAAGAGAGAATCCTTGTATTTCTACTTATCAACCAGTTTCTTCTCAAATTTTTCTTAATTTTCAATTCTCATAAAGTTTCTCGCTCATTTATTCTTACTCTATTTTTGTCTATTCCCAGATCTTGAATTTTTTTAAATAGAGAGGGACTTTAAGTAATACTGGAATAGAGAAAATTCTTGTATTACCGCTTATCAACCATAGTTTCTCCTTAAATTTTTCTCAATTTTCAATTATCATTAATTTTCTCGCTCATTTAGATATTCCTTTTGAATTTTTGTCTTTTCCCGGCTCTTAAATTTCTCCAAATTTCCTTAACCCGGGATCGGTCGCGGTGTTAGAAAAATTCTAACATTTTTAGTTTTATGCACATAAAACTTTAAATAGTGACGTTAGGTCATTCCCCATCCCGAAGTGCCTGGAAGAGGGCCTATGTAAGCTCATGGCGAATGGGCATTTAGCTGGCTCAAAAGGGTTAGCCATATCGGGAAGATGACTTAGATGTTAGTTAAAATCTAACACGCGAACTCAGTGTACACTTAGCTGTTAGAAAAAATCTAACTACGCGACCAACTACGATTGAAATACCAAGACTTAATTGCATTTATCAAATTTAAGTTTAAGTTTTGATTCCGAAATTTTTTTTTAGTGTTAGATAAAATCTAACATGCGACCGATCGCGTTATAGGAAGGGTAGCCACCGATCCCGGGTTAAATTGAGAGAATTCAAAAGCCTGGAATAAAAACAATCCTTGTATTTCTACTTATCAACCAGTTCCTGGCTCTTATATTTCTTTAAATTGAGAGAATTCAAGAGCCTGAAATAGAAAAAAATCGATTTCATCTCTCTCCCTCTGTATAGTTTTTAACTTGGTAATGGTTCTATTCCTGTCACACCTGACATTAATTCCTCTGTAACAGGATCTGACAAATAAGCATTTGACTGAGTTGAATTCAAGAGTCAGGAATAGACAAAAATCGATTCCATCTCTCTCACCCTGTATAGTTTCTTTACCTAGTAATGGTTCTATCTCTCCCACACTTGACACTAATTTCTCTGTGACAGGAGTTCACAAATAAACATTGAATTGAACTTCGTTTGTCAATCAACTTCTTTATGACTGAGTTGAATTCAAGAGCCGGGAATAGACAAAAATCGATTTCATCTCTCTTCCTCTGTAAAGTTTTTTTTACCTAGTAATGGATCTATCTCTCTCACACTTGGCACTAATTTCTCTGTAACAGGTGTTGACAGATATACATTGAATTAAACGTTGTTTGTCAATGAATTAGTTTATGACTGAGTTGAATAGGCATAGACAAAAATCGATTCCATCTCTCTCAATCTGTATAGTTTCTTTACCTAGTAATGGTTCTATCTTTCCCACACTTGACGCTAACTTCTCTGTAACAGGAGTTGACAAATAAACATTGAATTGAACTTCGTTTTTCAATCAATTTGTTTATGACTGAGTTGAATTCAAGAGCCGGAAATAGACAAAAATCGATTTCATCTCTCTTCCTCTGTATAGTTTTTTTTTTACCTAGTAATGGATCTCTCTCTTTCACACTTGACAATAATTTCTCTGTAGTTGACAGATAATCATTGAAAACGCCGTTTGTCAATCAATTTGTTCATGAATGAGTTGAATTCAAGAGTCGGGAATAGACAATAATCGATTTCCTCTCTCAATCTGTATAGTTTTTATTGCTCCTAATGATTGGAATCTTGCTTGAAGAAATTTCCTTATTTCAACAAAGTCCTGTATTTCATGGGGCTTGCTCAGCGATTGTTCGTAAAGCTTGTTGGTTTCACAATCCCATTTCCGGTGGATGATGCAACTGATAATAGGATTCCAATTGGAATTATCGATACTCAGATTATTGATAGCTTCAAGACATTCCACAACTGTATCGTGAAGCTGTTTATTCTTTAATGATGATTCGTGATTAATCACTGGAAGATCTAAGATCCTATCTAATAGTGAAACGGCCGGATACGTCCAATTTAATATTGAGACGACATGTTATGACATATACCTGCGATTCTTTCCCTTCATCCTCCTAGCCTCCAGCGCAACCCCACGAATTTTTTTTAAATGGGAAGAGGAGGGGTTGAGTGATACCTTGATTAAAAGGTAATTCTATTCTCTATATGACCCTGTTTTTGTTTTTTCATTTTAATCGGTTCGTTCTTAAGAAATATGAATGATCGATTCTGGATATTAATTCAGATCATTAATTGTATTAAAGAAAATAAAAAGTTTACAAATATTTTCTTAAATGTTGGAAAAAGATCGGGAGATCTAGAAGGCCATCCTACGGTACCTCTCCGGCCAATCCATGGTCTAGGAATTTCTTCATTCAAAAACTGACGAATGGTGGAGGTGCTCCATGTCGCTGAAACATCAATTAATTTTCTAGAAGGTTTTCAAGTATGCATTATATCAGAAAAACTCAAGAAATCTTTTTTGTAGAGAATGAAAAGTTACTTATAATAAAAGAAATTTCATTGCTATTAGCTCGAAAACAAAAAAGTTATTGGAATTTATTTAAATATCTGGAAATTTTTGAGCTTTAGGTAAAATCGCGAAATGTGGTGTGCATTCTTCTAATAAAACCCAAGAATGCCTTTTAGTAGAGGATTCAAGATACCTATATTGAAATAAAAAAAAAAACATCAGTTATTTTCGAAAAGTTTGGTGTCAAAAGTTTGAAGCATGGTCTCAAGTTTCCAGTCTTCCTCTTCCACTACTGGGAAGGTTTAGTGATTTTTCTATAAACCTTAAAGTATAGAATTGAATTTATTTGAATTATTTAGTGTCTATCCAAACAGTACACAGACATCCTAAAGACGTCCCTAAGATGTACACAAACGACATTCAAGACGTCTTTTAGACGTCTGCTTACGTCTTCAAGGCTTCTTAAAGATATCTGAAATACGGCGTATGTTACAAAACTCAACGTCTTTCAGATTTCTGCTTAAACACGTATTCAGCAGGACTGGTATTTTATTATTATCACTTATTTTATAACTTTCAATTCTGTCTATTCCAAACGCTAGGGTCTTAAATTATTGATTTCTTTAAATCAAAACTTACGAAAAATTCATTTTGGAAGAAAACCATTTGAAGAGACAGGACTGAAAATTTAAAAACAAATCAAGAGCCTAAAATTCTAAGATACAGAAATAATGAGAATTCAAGAACATGGAACAAAAATTTAACAGCCAAAAGAAAATTAAGAATTTAGAATGAAGAAGTAAGGAAAAATCGAGAGTCTGGAATAAAAAAATTTATAAAAATTCAAGAATTTGAATTGAAGGAACATTTTCTTGTTGATATTTCCTTATTTTATTAGGT